GTTCTCCCGCCCTGCAGTGCTTCGTCATAGTTTCATCATAGTATGATTCAGATCTATTACAAAAAAAAACAATCAACCTTTTAGTGATTACACAATAGAGAAAAATCAAGTTTAGAAATCTTGACAGTGCCAGTCAAAGAGGATTTATAGTCTCTTTATTGGTCCTCCATCATGTCTAGATTGTGGTTAATCTTGTAGGCTGTTAATATTTTTACTGAAACTATAAAACAAGAGATGATTTCCTTTTATCTTGCATGACCGCGTTTGACCTGGCCTCCTAATACACCTTTACGCTAAAAATTAAAAAAAAAAAAAGATGTCCAATGTGAAAAACTGCGTCCCCCTGCACTGTGAATCGCTGCACTGTCACTTGTTTTTTTTATTTTAATTTTTAGCAGAACAGTCATTCATTTTCATCCACCTTTAACTGGACCAACCTGTACACATATCAGCTCCATCCTGATGACCTAAGCTCAAGTCTGTCGTAAGCATCTCTAACCCCTGGCAGCCAGAGTACTGCCTCTCATTGTTGTAAGTCAGGAATCCTTCGCTCTGCTCTGAGATCAGCTCTCAGGGGCTGTTTTACTGTTCCCAATCCATGTATAGTCGTCCCAAGAGACACGAATCTAAGCACCTGAACGAGGGTGTCTCACTGCCTTTCATAGTGTTTTTTTATACATGACATACAGTATATTTTAACCTGCATACATATGTGTTTGTGAAAAGAAAAAAGATTGTATGTGATATTTCATAATTATAATGTTCCCAATGTTTTATAAGGACTGTACCTGTACAGCAATAAAGCACAATTGTGTCATTGACAGCCTTTTAACTGTGTATGTGTGTAAAAACAGTGCATGTCTTTTAGGAGCGTTCTACACTGATACAACATAACTGATTTGGTAAAATTGAGTTTTTCATCTGGGTTGATAGAGGCCAGAATTTTTGCCCTTGTCTCCTCACATCATGGTACTGGTTTTGGTGTGGGGCTACCAGAAGATGAGGACACTGAGACCACTATCTCCATACACCTGCTTCGGTTACGGCCTACTCAGGCCAAATACCGCTCTCCAAATAATCTCTCCATCGTGCATGCTCCGTTTGATGTGCACTCTCCAGAGTACATTTATGCAATACAGACCAATCACACTCATCTGCTCATAAAAAATGAGGGGACTGTTTTTATAATCTCTAAATACAACCCGCTGCCACTGACCATGGTGCTCACAGACATTAAGACTGAATGCGGTACAAAATACAGTCATGTTGGCAGCAGCAATAATAAGTAAATAACAGCCATCAAACAGCACAGGCCAGCCTTCACTAACCTAGGGTGACCATATTCTCAATCCCCCAAAAGAGGACACTACAACGTGCAAAATTTTGAGGGTTTTTCATGTCAGGTTGAGTGTGTTTTTTATGCGCTTCTAACTCAGTAAAACGCATAGAAACACTAAACCAGGCATCTTGGAGATACATACAAAACCCCAGACATCTAAAGGATTTTATGAGCCCCGCCCAGACAGTCCGGACAGCCCCCCTAAAGAGGATGTATGGTCACCCTACACTATCCTCACATCACAGTGAGCGTTAGCCTTTAATGACCCTGTTATTCCTTTTTTTGCTCTGGGCTTTTTGTAGATCTTGACAACTTCAAACCCAATATGAGGTGCAGTTTTGAAAATGCTCTCGATCTGTTGTCCATCCTTGTAAATTTCACCTCACCAAGAGTTGCTCTCATCCAAACACTCAAGAAAATGTTTGCTTGCTGGCTGTACTGTCTTACTCTCTAATGGGTGGCATCTTAAAAAGATAATCAGTCTTCATCTCTTAGTGGTCATAAAGCTAATGGGTGATTAGTGTGAACAGTATAAAGATGGGTTTGTAGGATGTTTACTATACAGATTAGTGCATGGTAGCCAATGATAAAGCTTCACTAAACCTTACCTTGCCTAAAGTAATGAGTTGCTAAAAATGAGTGAAAAGTGACTTTTTTGTCAAAAGAGAGTGGCTAGAGGTTAGCAAGGTGCCTTTAGTTGTGATATGTGGAGTAGTAGTCACGAGAAATAGAAATCCTCAGACCACGCTCAGCCTACTTTGGTAAAACAGATAAACTCCCACTAGTTAGGTATGTGTATATCGCTTTAAGTCGAAAAGATATTGTGCCCTTTAGCTGAACCAACCCTTAAAGATGTTTTAAATGTTTACAGGATCCAGTGATTTGCCACTAAGAAGTGACATTTCCCATGACCAAAATCTGCCCTGCCAGGTATTTACTAACCTGCGGCAGTTTATGTTCAGAATCAGGTCAAGACAAGCACGAGCTAAGTGAGCCTGAACAATCGTACATTCTATTCCCACATTAATGATCTGCTTTAGTAATTTACAGGAATGTTTCCCTGAAGCAGTAGTCAAAGGAAGAACTCACCTCAAAGTGTGGGAGTGTGTTTGAAGTTTGTGTGTCAGTGTGTGTCAGTGTAATTGCTTCTAACACAGGCTGCTGACTCACGCACACACACACACACACACACACACACACACACACACAAAGGGGTGTGTGCAGTATGTCTTGAATTAAAAAGAATGTCGGAGGTATGAAGCTGCAAAATCACTTTTAAGCTCATTTAGATAACGTTAACATGAGTGATCAAGATAAACATGTTTATTTCAAAGTTTAAAAGGGAATTTTAAAAAATGATGGCTGAATTTTGAACTCTCACAATGAAATGTACATAAGACTGTGCCTGAAATGAATCACTCAATCCCTAACCCCTAATCCTTATATGGGGTTTCACTATATAGTTGACTAAGTAGTGAACTCAATCACCAGAAGTTTTGGACACTACGTGGCATGACGCAATGCATGATGGGATGCCCACCACCTGTGAGTGACCATCGGATGGTCACTACATTTTGCAATGCTTTATGGGAAATTTTGAGTCGCCTATATACACTGATTCGGGTGAGCGGTTTGTGTACACCACCATCTTGTGGCGGCGCCATTGCTGCGGTGTGCGATGTCATGAAGTTGTCATGCTATCAACAAATAAACGTACAAGAGTAAAGTCACCTGGTTTGACAATGTCAGACAGTGGCCTCCGGTTACTGATGAAGGTATCTTAAATTAATACCGATATTAATTTGGGAATTAATAAGATGAAAAGTATGAAGTATTTCATTGTGAAAAACTAAAGTAGGAGGAGATGTGTGTGTAAACACTGGCTAGGCTACATTTATACTGACCCTCGCAGGCTAACAGGCAATTAATCATTATGTACAAGCCTACGTGATTAAAAAATAATGTAGGCTCCCAGGCTGTCTTGACATAGTTGTGCAGGGTTGCTTGTGTCGCTGCACACTGCATACAGCACTGCTTCTCATTCGCTTCGCGCACACCGCAGTAATGGCGGCCGTACTACTTCCGGTCATTTCGCCGAATCAGTGTATAGGGCACTGGAATTGATCCCTGAGATTTCGGACACCCCTCAAAATGGCACTAACCCCCATGTAGTCACCTATATAGGGGTTAGGGACTCATTTCGGACACAGCCCAAGTTTACAGGCTGATATCAACAGACTGTTTCTACAACATCAGTTTAAGCATAGTGCTGGAGCTCATTGATTAATATCATCATATTTTCATACAATGATTTAAGCTGACCAATTTCCTCTTTTAGGAACACACTGTTAGGGCATAACAACCCTTAAAAAAAGAGGAGAAAAGCAGTCCAATGATAATACTAATAATATCCTTAAAATCTAAAGTATTTACTGCAAATTTAACATACAACTGAGTCAAAAAAGCAGTTTTGTCTGAATAATTCATGTATTAATTCAAACATACTTCACAGAAGTCAATAGACTATTATTTTTAATGACAGTATTTGCTCATCTGTAATGTGTTTAACATTTAAAGCCTACATGTACAAAACCCTATTCCATTGAAGTTGGGAAATTGTGATAAATGTAAATAAAAACAGAATGCAATGATTTTGCAAATCATTTTCAACCTATATTCAATTGAATACGCAACAAAGACAAGGTATTCAATGTTCAAACTCATGAACTTTTTTTTTTTTTTTGCAAATAATAATTAACTTTAGAATTTGATGGCAGCAACACGTGACAAAGAAGTTGCGAAAGGTGGCAAAAAATACTGAGAAATTTGAGGAATGCTCATCAAACACCTATTTGGACTATCCCACAGGTGAGCAGGCTAATTGGGAACAGGTGGGTGCCATGATTGGGTATAAAAGCAGCTTCCCCCAAAATTCTCAATCATTCACAGGCAAGGATGGGGCGAGGTTCACCACTTTGTGAACAACTGCGTGACAAATAGTCGACAAGGCTAAAAACAACATTTCTCAAAGTACAATTGCAAGGAATTTAGAGATTTCAACATCTACGTACCATAATACCATCAAAAGGTTCAGAGAATCTGGAGAAATCACTGCATGTAAGCGGCACGGCCGGAAACCAACATTGAATGCCCGTGACCTTCGATCCCTCAGGCGGCACTGTATCAAAAACCGACATCAGTGTGTAAAGGATATCACCACATGGGCTCAGGAACACTTCAGAAAACCACTGTCAGTAAATACAGTTCATCGCTACATCTGTAAGTGCAAGTTAAAACTCTACTATGTAAAGCAAAATCCATTTATCAACAACATCCAGAAATGTTGCCGGCTTCTCTGGGCCCAAGCTCATCTAAGATGGACTGATGCAAAGTGGGAAAGTGTTCTGTGGTCTGACGAGACCACATTTCAAATTGTTTTTGGAAATTGTGGACGTTGTGTCCTCCGGGCCAAAGAGGCAAAGAACCATCCTCACTGAGAGGAGTCAGATGAGGTGGCTTGAGCATCTAATCAGGTTGCCTCCCGGACGCCTTGCTGGTGAGGCATTCAGGGCACGTCCCACCAGTAGGAGACTGCGGGGAACACCCAGGACACACTGGAGACTTTGTCTTTCAGTGGAGACTTATTTGACACAATAGAATCTATTGAAACAAATCTTAAGTGTGTTACTTTCATCTATTGAATAGATGAAAGTAACACACTTAAGATTTGTTCAGTTTAACATGATTTGTTTTGAACACATCTGTTGTAAGAGTATTAGAGTAATATATTTAAACTTAGACATGTGTTCATCTGAAACAAAATTTCCCACTATTTGATTACTGTGTCAGTTACAAAAGGTCATGAATCCTTCAGTTGTTTCAATACAGTTGTTTTCATACCTTTAAAAATACAAGTCCAAGTAAAACCAATGTGGGTTTACTCTGCTCCTCATGGGCCTTATTTTCCAGATACATGCTATACTTTTAGGGTGTAATTGACCTCATCAAGTGTAACTTTTCCAGTTCATCTCTTTGCAGATTTAAATATTAACACAATATGATGGCTGCTGTGATCTCTTAGAATGTCAAATGTCAGAGTCTGTTAAATGTCAAATGTCAAATGTTCGACACTACAGGATGAGAGTACACTTCACCCTCAGAGGTCTGTTTTTGCAGCTCCTTAACCTTAAATAAACCTTCATGATGGCGCCTCGACATTTAAAGCACCGAATAATCTGTGGCTCATTTCAGCTAAAAACAAACATAAATGTACTAATGTGAGCATATTTGCACACCCATTGTAAGCACAAAGGAGTTCAGCATCTCTGTGTATTTATACTACTAATAACTGACATACATCTGTGCTAATGTGTCTCTTTGAATATCTGTGCAGCTGAGAATTGTGTCGCCCACACACTTCAGGAGAAACGGTTTTGAGGGAGGATGAGGGGGTTCATCTTCTTGAGCACGGTGAGCAAAAACATTTAAATTAGTCGTCTGAATAGAAAGAACATCTGTTCATGTTTGGAGGATGTTCTTGATAAAGCAACAGCAAAAAGATGTTGGTTTATTCAAGGGGTGGTGATTCTCTGAGCGCAATTTGTTCTGAACAAGCTCAAGAACGTAATAGCAAAATAAATATTTATTGTACACTGCTCTCAAATTAGGATGACGAATGAACAGCTCTGTTTGGCACCTGGTGTGTACTCTGGATGTTGGAATATATGAATGAGTGGGAGGCGGTGAAAAACCGAGGGGAAAGGTCAGTGAGGTTACATGTTCAATCCTGCCTGTCTGTTTTAATTAGGCTTTCTTGGATTGTATGGGACAACATTAAGTATCCATAATCCTCACACTGGTTCAGATTTTTCCTGGATGTTTCCTTTATGCTGTTCACATTAGTATGCAGTTAGTGGACGAGCTTACTAGTCTCACGCATTGGTAAATGAAAAACTTCACCTAGCTGTCCTGCTTGTACTAGAATTTCACCCTCCTATGTTTCAACTGAAACAAATTTATAACATTTATTTTTTTTTTTTTACACATTTTTAATGTTCACCTTAAGATGGTGTTGTATTGCTCTACATTTGTTGACCATGAATCTAAACATCACTGAGGAAAGCGTGTCCCTTTATCAACCTCCCTCCTCATGGATGGCCGATGGGGCTGTTCATTTATTCTGGGTTGAAAAGGTCTACCATGACACTGGAGGAGGGGGTAAATGGCCGAGAGGTAATTTGGACCAAACTGCCCCCTGATGCCGCGCCAATAAGCCCTGAATCAAACACACAGCCCCATCCTCTCAGTCCTCCATTTAGGGCATGGCCTTTGTTCACCTTTGCCATATATCCTCAGTTTCTCTTGATTCTCTTTGGTCTCCATCACTCCCCCAGGACTACTTTAGACAGAAGTTTGTACCCAGGTGTGTACTGCATCTATATAGCTAGTGTAGTTATTTTGAGGTTGAGGTTGTGGCTGGTTCACAGTATAATACTAGTAAGGAAGGTGGAGTAAATATAGCAGCAGTCATCCATGGAAAATAAATATGAGCATACCTAGCTAAGAATTCATATCAACAAAAAGATTTTTGGCTAAAACCTAGTCTGATTTTCTCTGTCGCACTCATAGACTGTGTAGATCCCAAATAACAAGCGTTAGATTGCTTGTGCAAACTAAAAAATTGCACATGCTATGATTGGGTGTGTTGCGGGTGATCTACTATGATTGTGCGAGCATTTGATAAAAGTGGTGCAGAGCCACTGATTTAAACAGGGATTTTGTGTGTGCTACAGACTGTCATCATGGAGAATTAAAGGTGGGGTAGGCAGGATTCCGTTAAAGAAGCATCTTTTTTTGTGGTGTATATACAAAAAAGCTTTGAATATCAGTCAATAGCTATTAGTTATTGATGACATTTGGTAATGTAACAATATCGCTATGTTCTGTTATGTCTGTGTAGTCAACATTTTAAATTTTTTGAGCGGACCGCTCTTTCTGACTGTAAACAAAGCCATTCTCTGCGTCCCCCAACCTGATTGGTTGTGAGGCAGACGCTGCTCATTAGTGCTGATTGGTTGTGAGGTAGACACTGCTTCCCTGTGTCGTTGTGTTGCTGAATGATTCATTTGCATCTGCTCCTCCTAGTACTTTGTGCGTTTTGATAATCTGTATACATTCTGCATATTCATGAAGGCTAAATTGATGTGCGTGCTGTTTTGCCCAGATGACAGACTCAGTCCAAGGTGCACCCGGTTGGTAGATCGGCTTTGCGCACTCTCAAGTTTGCATGTGTTTTCATACACGTAAACCTGACTTAACTTACTACTTTTAAATTTTAAGCTACACAGAAAAATAGAGGACTTGAGCACAAACCTGTCTTACAACATGTAAACCTCGCAACCAGGGGGAAGAAAAAATTGTATGACTTGTATTGAGTTTTTAAAGTTCGTCCACAGCTCTATTCATTTTCACTGGAGAGAGTGGGGTTTATAAGCTATACTGCAACCAGTCACCATAGGGTGCTGTTCTCGCAGAGGCTTCACTCAGCAAGGAGGCAGATGATGTCCATTCTATATACAGTCCGTGGTGTAAACCCACCTGATTGCAAAAAACAAACTATGAGAGGGACCTTTTTTGCTAACTGTTGAGTTTTAATCAGCATCATTATGGTGAACTTTTGTTGATAAGGATAATGTCTCCTCTGACCCAGAAATAATAAACACACTGGGCTGACAACCTTTAAGTTCAGTTTAAAGTGAGAGTGAATGTAGATGATAGCGTGGGATCAATAATGTGATCAAGAAAACATTCCTACTGGAAACAGGTTTATGCATTAATAAAGCATCCATCAGCATATTTACAGCTCAAAATATCATCTTCACCAGCCGCTACACTCTTACAACAGATGTGTTCAAAACAAATCATGTTAAACTGAACAAATCTGAAGTGTCTCTATTTTGTCAAATAAGTCTCCACAAAGATGTTATTCTAAAATAAAATTGTTATTTTGACACAAATACATTCTGATCAATAGTATTGTAATTACAACCTGGTGGTTTAAACATATAGCTTTAAAATGTCTGTTTGTGAAAACATGACAGAAAAATCTATTTCTATTTCTGTACTTTTATATCTTCAATTCACTCAAGTATGACTCACTTTGGACCAAGAAAACAAAATTACCTTTTTTTTTTTGCTCATCTAGACACATTTTTGACTCTGTTTTGTGAATGAATGTATACTACCCTAAAAATGGTCCAAATTGTCTATTTGAAAATACTCATGTTCAGCCCATTATAAACTGTGATGAATCTTAACAAATCACAGAACAGCTGAAGATCACTCGCATGTTAGTGCCTTGAAAAGTCAAAAAACAACTTGTTCACAACACAGTAAAGATGACATGCAGATTCCCTCGATCAAAGGTGGAAATCCAATTTTTTAAAATTATTCCATCCATCCATCTTCAACCGCTTACTCAGGGTCATGGGGGCAGCAGCCTGAGCAGAGAAGCCCAGACTTCCCTCTCCTCAGCCACTTCGTCCAGCTGCTCCCGGGGGACCCCGAGGTGTTCCCAGGCCAGCTGAGAGACATAGTCTTCAGCGTGTCCTGGGTCTTCTCTACTGTCTCCTACTGGTGGGACGTGCCCTGAATGCCTCACCAGCAAGGCGTCTGGGAGGCAACCTGATTAGATGCTCAAGCCACCTCATCTGACTCCTCTCAATGAGAAGGAGCAGTGGCTCTACTCTAAACACTATATCGAGAGCTTTACCTTTCGGCTCAGCTTCCTCTTTACCATGACAGATCTGTGCAATGATCCGCCTGTCGATGTCCCGCTCTCCCAGGTGACCTGGGTTCAGGCGAGAGAAACTGTGTGCCAAAATCTTTTATCTATCATCATGGGTCTGTTTGAGCTACGCTTAGTCTGGTCCCTCCCACAAGACCTGTTTGCCATGGGTGTCTCTGCCAGAGGCATAAAGCCCCTGACAGCACAGCTCCTGGGATCATTGGGACACGCAAACCCCTCCACCACGGTAAGGTGGTAGCTCGAGGAGGGGGAAGGATTTTTTTTTTAATGTATCAAATTTGATACTTGGGGAAACCGGAGCGGCCCGGAGAAAACCCAACGGTCAAGGTACAGCATTTATTGTTGGGGGTCAGCTCACACCTGATTCTGCCCCTGTTGCTGGTGTTTGTACAGGCGCCTGTGCCTTGGAGTCATCAACTTCTTAAACCTGCGCCATGCTGAGACACTCTCCATCTCACGTTTGATCCTGATCTGCTCCTCATGGTACGCTCTAAGCATTATCTGGATCTCTTCATAGAGCGGCAGACTATCCTCAGAGTCTTCTTCGATCTCCTCAGTGGCCTCCTGAAAGTCCACAGGGGCTCCTTGGATCTCCTCAGTGGACTCCTGGATCTCCTCTGGTGCGTTTGGGTTGTCTTCAGGTGGTGTGACATCCACAGGAGTGTCTCCCTTGCTGTCCTTTTCCTTTGTCATACACTCATAGAGCTCTTCTTGCTTGAATCCATCCACTTCCCTCTGTAGTGTCTCATTAGCCTTTACCTGAATGATCAGTTGGGAGTTAAGCTGGGGGATGCTGTTGGTCTTCTCCAGCTGTAACTCTAACCTCTCCAGCTTCTCTGTACCTTTCTCACTGCTCTCTGCCTCCTTCTTAAGGATCTGGATCTCCTGTTGAGGAGCCTCTTTTTCTTCAGTCAGTCTCTGAAAAATGGGTCGCGCGAGCTGATGCTTGGCGCCCTCTAACTCTTTTTCCAGGACTTCTTTGTGACGGGTTTCACTTTTCAGCTGGCTGCTCAAAGCTGCAACAAGCACCAGGAGCTCTTCCTTGGTCTTGTGCTCATAAATTGATATCTCCTGAGCTGCATTAAGGAAAGGTGTCATTTTTTCCACCTCTTCTTCTAAACATGCTGAGATTTCCCTCTCCACTTCAAGAAGCTCTTCCATGTTCTTCAGACGACGCTGTAGGTCTTTGTTCTCCTCCAGCCATAGTGGTATATTGAAATACATTTCACCATCAGGAGCCTGCCAATGATCAGGGAGGGCCTGCCGTTGGCCGTGGTAGGCCTGCTGATCAGTGGGGGCCTGCTGTTGGCCATGGGAAGCCTGCTGATCAGTGCGGGCCTCCTGTTGGCCATGGGAAGCCTGCTGATCAGTGCGGGCCTCCTGTTGGCCATGGGAAGCCTGCTGATCAGTGCGGGCCTGCTGTTGGCCGTGGTAGGCCTGCTGATCAGTGGGGGCCTGCTGTTGGCCGTGGGAGGCCTGCTGATCAGTGGGGGCCTGCTGTTGGCCATGGGAGGCCTGCTGATCAGTGGAGGCCTGTACATTGGGGGCCTGCTGTTGGCCATGAGAGGCCTGCTGATCAGTGGGGGTCTGTAGGTTGGGGGCCTGCTGCGGAACAATACAGGCCTCCTGTTGAGCATTGGTGGGCCTTTGCTGTCCATTAGTGGTCTGCCACTGTTGATTCTGGGCCTGATATGGTTGATTCTGGGCCTGCGGCTGTGGTAGTTGTCCATGGGTGGCTTGGTATCGTCCATTAGCAGCCCGATATGGTTGATTCGGGGCCTGCCACTGTCTGTGGGAGGCGTGATTCTGTCCATAGGGGGGCTGATATTGTCCATTGGCAGCCTGATGTCGATTTACATGACTTGGCCTTGGATGATTTTGGAGCCTGTAAGGGGTCTCCAGCAGGGCAGGGCGCTGCTGCCTGTAGGGGGTTTCCAGCAGGGCAGGGCGCTGCTGCCTGTAAGGGGTTTTCAGCAGGGCAGGGCGCTGCTGCCTGTGAGGGGTCTCCAGCAGGGCAGGGCGCTGCTGCCTGTGAGGGGTTTCCAGCAGGGCAGGGCGCTGCTGCCTGTGAGGGGTTTCCAGCAGGGCAGGGCGCTGCTGCCTGTGAGGGGTCTCCAGCAGGGCAGGGCGCTGCTGCCTGTGAGGGGTTTCCAGCAGGGCAGGGCGCTGCTGCCTGTGAGGGGTTTCCAGCAGGGCAGGGCGCTGCTGCCTGTATGTTGTTCCTCTTGCGATGCTCATCTCTAATATTTCCAGTTACAGTGACTGTAAACTCCACTAACTGTGTTGTTGTGTGTCAGACTGAATCTATCAGATACTGTGTGTGCTGAGCTGCTGTCTCCTGGCTATATATATAAAGACTTCTGTTGCTTTAATCTGCTTTAAGAAATCATCCTCTTGTGACATCATCGCTTTGAAGAAGGGAAATCGATGACATCATCGCCTTGTGACATCATCACTTTGTCATTTTCTCCCAATGACATCATCGCCTCGTGACATCATGGAACTTCTGGAATTTCTGCCTGTTGTTTACATTTAAACAAAAATGGCTGCCTCATGGATTTTATTTAGAGCAAATTATATGTCTGTGAGTGTGTATGTGCAAACCATAGACTGTATACAGAATGGACAATTTAAGCCAAATTGCATTTGGTATTTCTGGGATTTTCTCTGTTTCCAAAAACCTGTATTTGTGCAGCAGCACTCAGCGGAGAGTTGGTGTGACGATGCTCTGCTTAAACAGCATAACCCTCAGATGTCCTGCTCATCCTTCCTGCGCCCAAAAGCTGTATCAATTGTCAATCATAGAAAACATGAACCCCTAATAACTTTCAAAAAATGAACTGCACAGAAAAAATTGGGCTTGATCACATGTCAACCTCCCAACCAGGGGGGAGAAAAATTTATATGATTAGGATCATTTTTCCTCTGACCCAGAAATAATAAACACACAGGGCTGACAACCTTTCAGTTCAATTTAAAGTGAGAGTGAATGCAGGTGATAAAGTGGGATCAATAATGTGATCAAAAAAACATTCCTACTGGAAACAGGTTTATGCATTAATAAAGCATCCATCAGCATATTTACAGCTCAAAATATCATCTTCACCAGCAGCTATACTCTTACAACAGATGTGTTCAAAACAAATCATGTTAACATATACCTATACATAAACTTTGAATCAAGATATACCTAAATACTTGGCAAGTGAATACTTACATATACCTTTTTAAGAGTATACTCAAAGAGTTCACTTTTAAAAAGAAAAGCAGTATAAGCCAAGTATACAATATGTGCTAATATTGAAATAATAGCATACCAATGCTTCAGAGCCTCTGTGCAGATAGTTGAGTGGATTAAGGCACACCCCATGTTGAAGGAAATACCCCGCCCCCATAAATAAATAAATATATTTATGAATAAATAAATAACAAGTAAATTAATAAAGGTATGCTACAAAGTAAACTTTTATTATCTAAAAAGGGGACTAGAAGTTTATTACTAGTATACCAAGAAGTTTACTTTTAAGAATACTTTAATTAAATATATTTAGACTTTTAGTATAATTTTTAGTACAAGCCAAGTGTCGTTAACATTGACTTTGTTAAGTATATCTCTGAAAATGCATAAAAAGGAAACTGAAAGCATATTTTTTTTAAAAAAACAGTGTACTTGAAGTACACTAAAACACTTCTTTTTGGTAAGGGTCACTTTGGACCAAGAAAACAAAATGACCTTTTTTGTCACTCACCTAGACACATTTCTGACTGTTTTGTGAATAAATGTCTACACCCCTAATAATTGTCCAAATTAATTTGTCTATTTTAAAATACTCATGTTCAGCCAAAAAAATGCAATGCATCTTTAAAAATCACAGAACAGCTGAAGGTTATTCTCGTGTTAGTGCCTTGACAAATCAAAAAATAACGTAACAGTAAAAATAACATCCAGATTCTCTCCCTCAAAACTGGAAATCCACAAAAAAGTAAAAATTTAATCCACCCTTTTTTAATGTACAATCAGGTCCAACAAAGGGATTCAATGAGAGAAGTTTTACCAATCCTGAAACCTTAGCTAGTAGAGAAACCTTTGGTGCTTACACACATATTACAGTAAGTGTCAAGTTGTAGAAGATTATGGCAAATACAATATTGGTTCTTTAACTTTTAAAGCATCATGCAACGACAGACTTTTTAGGTGTCTTACAACTGTGATTATGTCAATGACTCTGACTGAATCAATGAATGCTGAAAAATGAGAGCATGAGTCCAAATTGAACAATTTCTGTCATGGACCTGTTGCTGCAGAAAACACACAAGCCGTTAGACAGTGGTTATATTTGTACTCCTGCTGCTCTGTCTGTGGAGCTTTTCAGGAGGAGCACAGCACAGGAGCTGCCTGTTGAAGTGTTTCCTGAAGCTGTTGCTCATCAGGTAAAGGGCAAATGGGTTCACGCAGGAGTTGGTAAAAGCCAATATGCGTGCAAGCACACTGGCAATGAAGTGGCCCAGTGAGGTGTCTACCTTGTCATAGTGGTAAGAGCGGTACAAGTAGAGCACATGACTGGGCAGCCAACAGACAGCAAACAGGCCGACAAACACCAGGACAGTCTTAGCCACTCTCTGCCTGGACTTGATCTGGAAAGACAAGAGAAAGAAAGTCATGTTAACCATGCTTTGTAGTCTAATCTCTTAGTTTGTGTAACTTTGACTCTCCGTGGACTCTTTTTCTGGTAACTCTTTGTATGTAGGGATTAGCCAGGCTTCCCTTGCCCGTCTGCAGCCTGTGCAGAACTCTGCTGCCTGTCTCCTGACTTAGACCTGCAGGCGTGAGCACATCCTGGCGTCCTTACACTGGCCTCCTGTACGGTACAGAATTAATTTTAATCATTTAATATTTGTTTTAAAGGCCTGAACAATCTTGCTCCACCTTATATTTCCGAGATGCTCCAGCCTTACTGCCCACCCCGACCCCTAAGATCAACTCTTTTAAAAACGCACTTTTACTCCTTGGCTTTTAACACATTGTAGTGTTATTTTGTTTGTTATCATCATAGCACTTGCCATGAGCCTGCTTATTTGTATATATATATTTTTTTTGCACAGGAAGAATTAAAGGGTTAAGTTACTGCACATGGATGGGGATAATTCGCAGCAGAAAGATTTTTGGCTAAAACCTAGTCTGATTTTCTCTGTCGCACTCATAGACTGTGTAGATCCCAAATAACAAGCGTTAGATTGCATGTGCAAACTAAAAAATTGCACATGCTATGATTGGGTGTGTTGCGGGTGATCTACTATGATTGTGCGAGCAGTTGATAAAAGTGGTGCAGAGCCACTGATTTAAACAGAGATTTTGTGTGCACTACAGACTGTCATCACGGAGAATTAAAGGTGGGGTAGGCAGGATTCCGTTAAAGAAGCTTCTTTTTTGTGGTGTATATACAAAAAAGCTTTGAATATCAGTCAATAGCTATTAGTTATTGATGACATTTGGTAATGTATCAATATCACTATGTTCTGTTATGTCTGTGTAGTCAACATTTTAAATTTTTTGAGCGGACCGCTCTTTCTGACTGTAAACAAAGCCATTCTCTGCGTCCCCCAACCTGATTGGTTGTGAGGCAGACGCTGCTCATTAGTGCTGATTGGTTGTGAGGTAGACACTGCTTCCCTGTGTTGTTGTGTTGCTGAATGATTCATTTGCATCTGCTCCTCCTAGTACTTTGTGCGTTTTGATAATCTGTATACATTCTGCATATTCATGAAGGCTAAATTGATGTGCGTGCTGTTTTGCCCAGATGACAGACTCAGTCCAAGGTGCACCCGGTTGGTAGATCGGCTTTGCGCACTCTCAAGTTTGCATGTGTTTTCATACACGTAACCTGACTTAACTTACTACTTTTAAATTTTAAGCTACACAGAAAAATAGAGGACTTGAGCACAAACCTGTCTTACAACATGTAAACCTCGCAACCAGGGGGAAGAAAAAATTGTATGACTTGTATTGAGTTTTTAAAGTTCGTCCACAGCTCTATTCATTTTCACTGGAGAGAGTGGGGTTTATAAGCTATACTGCAACCAGTCACCATAGGGGGCTGTTCTCGCGGAGGCTTCACTCAGCAAGGAGGCAGATGATGTCCATTCTATATACAGTCCGTGGTGTAAACCCACCTGATTGCAAAAAACAAACTATGAGAGGGACCTTTTTTGCTAACTGTTGAGTTTTAATCAGCATCATTATGGTGAACTTTTGTTGATAAGGATAATGTCTCCTCTGACCCAGAAATAATAAACACACTGGGCTGACAACCTTTAAGTTCAGTTTAAAGTGAGAGTGAATGTAGATGATAGCGTGGGATCAATAATGTGATCAAGAAAACATTCCTACTGGAAACAGGTTTATGCATTAATAAAGCATCCATCAGCATATTTACAGCTCAAAATATCATCTTCACCAGCCGCTACACTCTTACAACAGATGTGTTCAAAACAAATCATGTTAAACTGAACAAATCGTAAGTGTCTCTATTTTGTCAAATAAGTCTCCACAAAGATGTTATTCTAAAATAAAATTGTTATTTTGACACAAATACATTCTCATCAATAGTATTGTAATTACAACCTGGTGGTTTAAACATATAGCTTTAAAATGTCTGTTTGTGAAAACATGACAGAAAAATCTATTTCTATTTCTGTACTTTTATATCTTCAATTCACTCAAATATGACTCATTTTGGACCAAGAAAACAAAATTACCTTTTTTTTTTTGCTCATCTAGACACATTTTTGACTCTGTTTTGTAAATGAATGTATACTACCCTAAAAATTGTCAAAATTGTCTATTTGAAAATACTCATGTTCAGCCCATTATAAACTGTGATGAATCTTAACAAATCACAGAACAGCTGAAGATCACTCGCATGTTAGTGCCTTGAAAAGTCAAAAAACAACTTGTTCACAACACAGTAAAGATGACATGCAGATTCCCTCGATCAAAGGTGGAAATCCAATTTTTTAAAATTATTCCATCCATCCATCTTCAACCGCTTACTCAGGGTCATGGGAGCAGCAGCCTGAGCAGAGAAGCCCAGACTTCCCTCTCCTCAGCCACTTCGTCCAGCTGCTCCTGGGGGACCCCGAGGTGTTCCCAGGCCAGCTGAGAGACATAGTCTTCAGTGTGTCCTGGGTCTTCTCTACTGTCATCTACTGGTGGGACGTGCCCTGAATGCCTCACCAGCAAGGCGTCTGGGAGGCAACCTGATTAGATGCTCAAGCCACCTCATCTGACTCCTCTCAATGAGAAGGAGCAGTGGCTCTACTCTAAACACTATATCGAGAGCTTTACCTTTCGGCTCAGCTTCCTCTTTACCATGACAGATCTGTGCAATGATCCGCCTGTCGATGTCCCGCTCTCCCAGGTGACCTGGGTTCAGGCGAGAAAAACTGTGTGCCAAAATCTTTTATCTATCATCATGGGTCTGTTTGAGCTACGCTTAGTCTGGTCCCTCCCACAAGACCTGTTTGCCATGGGTGTCTCTGCCAGAGGCATAAAGCCCCTGACAGCACAGCTCCTGGGATCATTGGGACACGCAAACCCCTCCACCACGGTAAGGTGGTAGCTCGAGGAGGGGGAAGGATTTTTTTTTTTAATGTATCAAATTTGATATTTGGGGAAACCGGAGCGGCCCGGAGAAAACCCAACGGTCAAGGTACAGCATTTATTGTTGGGGGTCAGCTCACACCTGATTCTGCCCCTGTTGCTGGTGTTTGTACAGGCGCCTGTGCCTAGGAGTCATCAACTTCTTAAACCTGCGCCATGCTGAGACACTCTCCATCTCACGTTTGATCCTGATCTGCTCCTCATGGTACGCTCTAAGCATTATCTGGATCTCTTCATAGAGCGGCAGACTATCCTCAGAGTTTTCTTCGATCTCCTCAGTGGCCTCCTGAAAGTCCACAGGGGCTCCTTGGATCTCCTCAGTGGACTCCTGGATCTCCTCTGGTGCGTTTGGGTTGTCTTCAGGTGGTGTGACATCCACAGGAGTGTCTCCCTTACTGTCCTTTTCCTTTGTCATACACTCATAGAGCTCTTCTTGCTTGAATCCATCCACTTCCCTCTGTAGTGTCTCATTAGCCTTTACCTGAATGATCAGTTGGGAGTTAAGCTGGGGGATGCTGTTGGTCTTCTCCAGCTGTAACTCTAACCTCTCCAGCTTCTCTGTACCTTTCTCACTGCTCTCTGCCTCCTTCTTAAGGATCTGGATCTCCTGTTGAGGAGCCTCTTTTTCTTCAGTCAGTCTCTGAAAAATGGGTCGCGCGAGCTGATGCTTGGCGCCCTCTAACTCTTTTTCCAGGACTTCTTTGTGACGGGTTTCACTTTTCAGCTGGCTGCTCAAAGCTGCAACAAGCACCAGGAGCTCTTCCTTGGTCTTGTGCTCATAAATTGATATCTCCTGAGCTGCATTAAGGAAAGGTGTCATTTTTTCCACCTCTTCTTCTAAACATGCTGAGATTTCCCTCTCCACTTCAAGAAGCTCTTCCGTGTTCTTCAGACGACGCTGTAGGTCTTTGTTCTCCTTCAGCCATAGTGGTATATTGAAATACATTTCACCATCAGGAGCCTGCCAATGATCAGGGAGGGCCTGCTGTTGGCCGTGGTAGGCCTGCTGATCAGTGGGGGCCTGCTGTTGGCCATGGGAAGCCTGCTGATTAGTGCGGGCCTCCTGTTGGCCATGTGAAGCCTGCTGATCAGTGCGAGCCTCCTGTTGGCCATGGGAAGCCTGCTGATCAGTGCGGGCCTGCTGTTGGCCGTGGGAGGCCTGCTGATCAGTGGGGGACTCCTGTTGGCCATGGGAAGCCTGCTGATCAGTGCGGGCCTGCTGTTGGCCGTGGTGGGCCTGCTGATCAGTGGGGGCCTGCTGTTGGCCGTGGGAGGCCTGCTGATCAGTGGGGGCCTGCTGTTGGCCGTGGGAGGCCTGCTGATCAGTGGGGGCCTGCTGTTGGCCATGGGAGGCCTGCTGATCAGTGGAGGCCTGTACATTGGGGGCCTGCTGTTGGCCATAAGAGGCCTGCTGATCAGTGGGGGTCTGTAGGTTGGGGGCCTGCTGCGGAACATTACAGGCCTGCTGTTGAGCATTGGTGGGCCTTTGCTGTCCATTAGTGGTCTGCCACTGTTGATTCTGGGCCTGATATGGTTGATTCTGGGCCTGCGGCTGTGGTGGTTGTCCATGGGTGGCTTGGTATCGTCCATTAGCAGCCCGATATGGTTGATTCGGGGCCTGCCACTGTCTGTGTGAGGCGTGATTCTGTCCATAGGGGGGCTGGTATTGTCCATTGGCAGCCTGATGTCGATTTACATGACTTGGCCTTGGATAATTTTGGAGCCTGTAAGGGGTCTCCAGCAGGGCAGGGCGCTGCTGCCTGTAAGGGGTTTCCAGCAGGGCAGGGCGCTGCTGCCTGTGAGGGGTCTCCAGCAGGGCAGGGCGCTGCTGCCTGTGAGGGGTTTCCAGCAGGGCAGGGCGCTGCTGCCTGTGAGGGGTCTCCAGCAGGGCAGGGCGCTGCTGCCTGTGAGGGGTTTCCAGCAGGGCAGGGCGCTGCTGCCTGTGAGGGGTCTCCAGCAGGGCAGGGCGCTGCTGCCTGTGAGGGGTTTCCAGCAGGGCAGGGCGCTGCTGCCTGTGAGGGGTTTCCAGCAGGGCAGGGCGCTGCTGCCTGTATGTTGTTCCTCTTGCGATGCTCATCTCTAATATTTCCAGTTACAGTGACTGTAAACTCCACTAACTGTGTTGTTGTGTGTCAGACTGAATCTATCAGATACTGTGTGTGCTGAGCTGCTGTCTCCTGGCTATATGTATAAAGACTTCTGTTGCTTTAATCTACTTTAAGAAATCATCCTCTTGTGACATCATCGCTTTGAAGAAGGGAAATCGATGACATCATCACCTTGTGACATCATCACTTTGTCATTTTCTCCCAATGACATCATCGCCTCGTGACATCATGGAACTTCTGGAATTTCTGCCTGTTGTTTACATTTAAACAAAAATGGCTGCCTCATGGATTTTATTTAGAGCAAATTATATGTCTGTGAGTGTGTATGTGCAAACCATAGACTGTATACAGAATGGACAATTTAAGCCAAATTGCATTTGGTATTTCTGGGATTTTCTCTGTTTCCAAAAACCTGTATTTGTGCAGCAGCACTCAGCGGAGAGTTGGTGTGACGATGCTCCGCTTAAACAGCATAACCCTCAGATGTCCTGCTCATCCTTCCTGCGCCCAAAAGCTGTATCAATTGTCAATCATAGAAAACATGAACCCCTAATAACTTTCAAAAAATGAACTGCACAGAAAAAATTGGGCTTGATCACATGTCAACCTCGCAACCAGGGGAGAGAAAAATTTATATGATTAGGATCATTTCTCCTCTGACCCAGAAATAATAAACACACAGGGCTGACAACCTTTCAGTTCAATTTAAAGTGAGAGTGAATGCAGGTGATAAAGTGGGATCAATAATGTGATCAAAAAAACATTCCTACTGGAAACAGGTTTATGCATTAATAAAGCATCCATCAGCATATTTACAGCTCAAAATATCATCTTCACCAGCGGCTATACTCTTACAACAGATGTGTTCAAAACAAATCATGTTAAACTGAACAAATCTTAAGTGTGTTACTTTCATCTATTGTGTCAAATAAGTCTCCACTGAGAGACATAGTCTCCAGTGTGTCCTGGGTCTTCTCTACTGTCTCCTACTGGTGGGACGTGCCCTGAATGCCTCACCAGCAAGGCGTCCGGGAGGCAACCTGATTAGATGCTCAAGCCACCTCATCTGACTCCTCTCAATGCTCAAGCCCCACCCTGAATGACCAAGCTTCTCACCCTATCTCTAGGGGAGAGCCCAGCCACCCTGCTGAGGAAACTCATTTCAGCGATCTTGTTCTTTCGGTCACTACCCACAGCTTGTGACCGTAACAAGGTGACAGTACAAACATAGATCTACCAGTATATCGAGAGCTTTACCTTTCGGCTAAGCTTCCTCTTTACCATGACAGATCTGTGCACCGATCCACCTGTCAATGTTCCGCTCCCCCAGGTGACCTGGGTTCGGGTGAGGGAAACTGTGTGCCAAATCTTTTATCTATCATCATGGGTCTGTTTGAGCTACGCTTAGTCTGGTCCCTTCCACAGGACCTGTTTGCCATGGGTGTCTCTGCCAGAGGCATAAAGCCCCTGACAACATAGCTCCTGGGATCATTGGGACACGCAAACCCCTCCACCACGGTAAGGTGGTAGCTCGAGGAGGGGGAAGGATTTTTTTTTTTTTTGTATATATCAGATTTGATACTTGGGGAAACCGGAGCGGCCTGGAGAAAACCCAACGGTCAACGTACAGTATTTATTGTTGGGGGTCAGCTCACACCTGATTCTGCCCCTGTTGCTGGTGTTTGTACTGGCGCCTGTGCCTTGGAGTCATCAACTTCTTAAACCTGCGCCCTGCTGAGACACTCTCCATCTCACGTTCTCTCTTGATTAGGATCTCTTCAGGGGATGGCCTAATATCCTCAGGGGCTTCTTGGATTTCATCAGTGGACTCCTGGATCTCCTCAGGTGCGTTTGGATTGTCTTCAGGGGCTCCTTGGATTCCATCAGTGGTCTCCTGGATCTCCTCAGGGGCTCCCTGGATCTCTTCAGTGGTCTCCTGGATCTCCTCTGGTGCGTTTGGGTTGTCTTCAGGTGGTGTGACATCCACATGAGTGTTTCCCTTGCTGTTTTTTTTTTTTTTTTTTTTGTATGTATAAGATTTGATATTTGGGGAAACCGGAGCGGCCCGGAGAAAACCCAACGGTCAAGGTACAGTATTTATTGTTGGGGGTCAGCTCACACCTGATTCTGCCCCTGTTGCTGGTGTTTGTACTGGCGCCTGTGCCTTGGAGTCATCCACTTCTTAAACCTGCGCCATAATGAGACATGCTCCATCTCACGTTCTCTCCTGATCTGCTCCTCATGGTACGTTCTAAGTGTTCTCTGGATCTCTTCATAGAGCGGCAGAATATTCTCAGGGTCTTCTTGGATTTTGCCATTGATCACCTGGATCTCACTGGAGGCTCCTTGGATCTCCTCAGTGGCCTCCTGAAAGTCCACAGGGGCTCCTTGGATCTCCTCAGTGGACTCCTGGATCTCTTCAGGGGCTTCTTGGAGCTTCTCTGGAGCTTCTGAGTTGTCCTCAGGTGTTTCGTAGATGTTTAGAGCTGTTTCCAGGATGTCTTCTGGTTCTATGATTGACACCTGATACGGCCTATTGGTGTTAAGGGATTGCGTAGCTCTCCCGGGGGATACGCTATTTGAGCTGAGCGTCATCACAGTGACTCTCGACGACTCTCCCGCCCATGCGTACAATGCTACTGCGCAATGCTTGTTTCAGGAAATGAAGAAAAATCGCGGAAGTACAGAGAGCTTTTTGGCTTCAAATCCGTATTCAGGCTGGAGGCGGAACCAAGTTGTCCATAGTACATACAGTCTATGGCTGGAACCAACACAAGCCATAAGTTCCTCACATCTTTAAGCTTGCTTAGCATAGATACTGCCATTGTAGTTTTTTACTTTCAGTGCTGAAACAGAAGCATAGTGGTAATAAAGAGGTCAGGAAAAGGGTGTATTCTTGATCAACTGGTGAAGTACACGTTAACATTGTGGAAAGAGATGAAAAGAACCATTTATAATATATTTTGTTTTTTTGTTGTTGTTTCAGATTTTATTCTCAAAAAGCCATTTTTTTGTACCCCTACCTCCAGAATCACAAAGTTCCATGGTATTCTGTCCAAAATCTGATGCATCCAATCAGTATTTGCATAAATGTTTTTATTATCTACTGCTGGATCAAACCAGATTTTTATTGTTCCTTGGAAGAATGGTTGCTTAAGACATGGGTGGGGGAATTGGGAAAGAGGGAACTACTGTGTGTGTCTTGCACAATGAGGAGAAACAAGCGAGGTATTGATCAAACGTGCTTGTTTTGGCCGGCAAACCACCTTTACGTACTCACCAGAGACAGACTGACATACAGCACTGTTTATCTTTCTGTCCATAGGTTTGTTTGTATTCTGGACAGATAGGGAGAGGCAAGAGAGAGGGAGGGAGCAGATGAAAGCTTTAATAGCACCTCAATCTGAGATGTTTCAAAGGCCATGAAACACAGGAGTAAACATGATTCCTACCTTTATTGATTATTTGAGCTCTGGTTGTGTGGGTTTGTAGGTTTATGTTGACTTATAAACAGCCCGGGGACTAGCTTGGTCTGATCGATGTAGCAAAGAAAAGGAAGGGGTTAGAAGGGTTGTTCCCTCAGCTGAGAACCCTTGCCAGTTTTATGATAGCCAGAGGTTTAGGGTTATACTCGTAACATGTATGAGGCTATAGTCGTTGGGAGCTCAACATGGTAACTCCTTTCCATGCAGTTAAAGGCCCCATAATGTCCACCTCTCAGTCCCATTTTACTGCCGACACTAACCTCATGATTCCCTCCTGTCCTCCTGTTGCCCTCTCTCCTCCCCCATCAAATATTCCCTATCCTCTCCTGACCCCGCTGTTGTTCCCTCCTCACCCCTGTCTTGCTGTGGCACTGACTTTTGTGTTCTGCTCACTGAGAGTGCTGAAATCAATAACATCATCTCACCACTGTCTCAATTTTCAATTAACGGCCACAAGGTTCGTCTCTCCAGACACATCCATCACATTATATCAGCCCTCATATTAGGCATAAACTTATAAAGGCTCCTGTCTTTTTCTCGCACAGCTGTAATTTGAACAACCCAACAGAATTTTAATCATGTCCTAAAAAAGCTGCACTTAAACATGTAAATACTATAGATGATCCAGACTGTGTAATATGAAATGGCTTACATGTATGGTGTAAAAAACCTGGACAGACATCTAACTATGAAGTGTCTTTTAGCTATCTGAACATATTGGTGGTTCTGGTTTTGTCTTAAATGAATAGTGCATAAATAGAAAATCTACTCCAGTCATATGAGAGTGACTTGTAAGGAGTTACCTTGGATAGATAGACTAAAACATGCAATCTCTTGCTGTTAGCAGAACTGGACAGCAGACATACGTAGGCTGTGATGAATCAAAATTACCCTCATACATTTCATCATGTTACATGCATGCTCTGATCGGCCAACATGCCAAAGTTTGGCACTATATAATAAAAACTGCACTGCTTTGAGAGCGCAGATATCCTCTTTTCTTTCTCTTTACATTTGAACATCTTGTTATTATTGTTCCAGCATCTTACAAATGTGAGTCAGGTTGAGCTGTGACCTTTTTTTAAAGCTCCCATAGAGAATTTCTTGACCGTCATGAAATAGAGTAAAAAACTTTTTGTTGTTTTTTTAAGATGTAAAACAAACAACATCACCTGAATTACATTTAATTAATAAATCTAAAAATTCACCTATTTAGACAGGCTTTTAACATTCAGTGACATCTGCCATTTGCTATGTATTTGATCGTTTTGTGTCCTCCTTCCTTTGTATTTGTTATGATATCCTGTGACATTTGTCACTTGTCGTGTATTTTCTTTTTCTTGTATTTGTGTATTTGTTATGTAAAGCACTTTGTTCATCTTTTTGGATGTTGTTGCTATATAAATAAACTATTATTATTATTATTATTATTATAATTATTATCAGCATCATTATCATAATCATCATTATTATTATTATTTTTATTATTGTTATTAGCAAAAAAGACGAACAATTCTTAGATTTTACTTTTTTTAATGCCTCAAACTGTGAGGGGGTAGGTGTCAATATTTTTTTAAGGGCCTGAACAATCTTGCTCCACCCTATATTTCGGAGATGCTCCAGCCTTATTGCCCACCCCGACCCCTAAGATCAGCTGATCAGCTTTTACTGACGGTCCCCAGTACAAGGCTGAAGCTCAGCGGGGACAGAGCGTTTGCCGCTGCTGCCCCTAAGCTCTGGAATGAGTTGCCCTTGAAAATTAGACAGGCCTCCTCATTTCCTGTTTTTAAATGCCTTTTAAAAACACACTTTTATTCATTGGCTTTTGATACATTGTAGTGTTAATTTGTTTTTTTTTTTATCATCTTAGCACTTGCTGTGAGCCTCCTTATTTACACATTTATTTATTCTTTTGCATTGATGTATTTCTGCTCGCTTTATCTTGTTCTTTGATTGTTTTATTTGTTTTTATGTGTCATTGTACAGCACTTTGGCTACCCTTGTGGTTCTTTTCAATGTGCTATAGAAATAAAGTTGATTGATTTATTAATTGATTGAACTGAGTTGCTGTTGTATAAAAACAGCCTTGTTTTTAAATTTCCACACTAACTGATCATAAATAATAATACATTTGACCTTCAAGAGTGAGCAGGATGAGATTCCTTTATTCCTGAGCTAAACATTGGTCCAAAGAGTTTGAAAGACAGTAACTTATAACACACAGATTCAACTTGAATGGAAATCCCACTAAGATTCTAGAACATTTTGAAATGGCTTGACACTTGATGTGTCACAATATCATATTGTGACATCACAATTTTAGAAGACTAGAGAAAGCTTTATAATTCTGGAGTCTAATCATACTCTCATACTCACTCACTGGTCACGCAAGCTCTGTTTGCTTCGAGACATTGCAGTACTTTCCAATCTTCCACAGAGAAAATGGCTCATAATGTCAATGCAGAAGGTGACCATCGCAATGATTTTGAGGGTTTTGCAGTAATATTTATTGTTGGTGAAGATGGTGACCGCCTAGATTTTGATAATTTTATACAACCGATTGACCCATGGCTAGCGAGGCAGCTTAATTTCATTTTTCCAGACTCTGACTCAGAGAATTCTGACCAGGAAGACGCCAATGAGGAAGACCAGGGTGTGGATCAAGTCGCCCCACTCCCTGTATTAGGAAGGGAAAGACCAAATGAGGTTGAAGATGGAAATGAGGTGATAGAAAGAAGACAGGAACACTTGGCATATTGGCAGGACGGGTACAGCAACAGCCAAAACCCAGACGGGGTCAAAGATGCTGCAGTGATTTTATCACAGGCCAGCCCTACTGTCCAAGATGATGTTGACATTGCACTGCTTGGAGGATCCAGGAAAAGACAACGTGAGGATGAGGATGATTATGATGATGATGATTATAGTGATAATGAGGACTACTACAATTTTTACGTCTTATCGCTTAGCAGATCCAGAAAAAGGCGTCGTGAGGACGATGATGATGTAAGAAACTAAACTCACAAGTGCTTCACATAAACGAAAAGTCAAAAAGTACATTTTAAATTTCCAAAATTTTAAAGGCCAAGACAACAACATTAACAATCATAGCAGCCCCAAAACAACTGAACAAAAGCATGTGCAAATAATTATGTCTTGATCTGGCTTTTAAAGGATGATGATAGCGACGAAGATGGCTTCCCACAGCCTGGCGGCCTGAAAAAAGGCGGATGTGAGGATGATGGCGTAGACTCCACATTTTATGGGTGAGTTATTCTAAAAGAAAAAGGTTTTTGCAAGTTCAGCATAAATTAACCGAATGACCTGGAGACACAGAGTTTCTCCAGCTAAGCACGGATCGCTGCCGGGAACAAAATCTCATAAATTTGTGAAAAAAGTACATTCAAGATAAATAACACTTAGCTAAATACATCATTTTAGTAAATTGCCTTTTTCATACTAACCACCCACCCTCAAAAGCATCAACAAACACATTTATCATCAGCCCCCATGTAGAGAACAGTATTGTGTCAATAGCTTAGCAAACACGATATTCTTACTCTCAACATACCCACCATGGAAATTCTTTCCCCCATCTGAACTTGATAAACAAGCACACACTCTCTTTCTGTCTGTGTCCTGATGTCAAACCACAATGATCCAAGGCTCATGCTGTCAGAAAAGCCAAACAAAGTGATAAATCATTGACAGCAGATGAGTACTAGAGGATGAATCCTGTCCGCTCCACCCTCCCTGAATCCTTCCTGCAGACGGCAGCTACTGAAGCCCCGTTCCTTCTGTTCCACTTTTACCCAGCAGTCAGCAGAATGGCAGACACTAAGGTGATCTTTGATGATAAAGCTAATTAACATGGCAATTAACAAGACTCTATACTGCTGACGAGGTCAGACGGGCCCAGACGCACTTCTCCTCTCCTGTACAATGGTTTGCATACACATACAGCTAATGTGTGTCAGGAAAGGTGCTCATGGGGAAGCAGTAATTAAGTGTAATTGCATCTTTAAGGTAGCTGCAGACACATAGACCTGTGTGAAGCAGATTTCATAGATGCATTAAGACAAAGTGGAGAGGGAGCTAGCACAGCCGCCATCTTTTGCTCTGTTCATTTGAAAAGGTTATCGATTTGGTATGATTCTTCTGCAAATGCTTCAACCTTCAACCTCAAACCTGCAGTTTTCCTGAGAACTCGGAAAATTTGGTCCATAAGGTATTCTTGCAGGCCTCGTCGTCACTGAAACCTCCCCTTTGTGCTCCTTTTGGCTGTCTCTCCAAGGATATCTCTTTGCTGTATGTCATGTTTGCATTAACAACCTGCGCCTCTCCCATAAGCAAACATATGGCCCTCTCCACTTCTGCCTATACATATGCAGGGAAGAAATTCCACGTCATTCCAGCTCTCATGCGTGTTAAGCAGGGGGTTGTCAAATCCTTATTGACTCTGTGGATTTGTACATTTGGAAGTGAGATTAATCTTACATTCCATGAATTCACAATGGAAACATTTATGAGTTAAAATCTCAGAAATATGCAAATATTCAG